AAAGGAAGGAAAACAGGATTGATTTGGAGGGTTCATATGGAGGGGATATTGCGGTATGCAATGAAACAAATTTGTTCTTAGCATATCAGACACTAAGTGACTCTGACAACTGCTTGGTAGCTGATCTGTGACTGAATATTCAATTCCGGAGTTATCATCGTTGCGTAATAGGGGAATCATACACTGCCAATATTTAATCCCTTATCTGCCACTTTATTGTGTTTTCCTGATAATAACCTCTCCAATCTGACTTACAATATTTGGTTCTACAAGTATTTCATAGTTTTATCACAACTCATAACGTTACCCACCTCCCTTTTTGCAAATGTACTTCAAAATTGCATCAGACTGCGCTAGTGTTTTTCCTTCAGGAGTCACAATAAATGGCATTTGGCCGAGCGGAGGCTTTCCAGCTAAAACAAAAGAAGGTTAAAAATGATTGTTATATGTCGATGATTTCAGGGAAGATATCCGGTCAGTCATTAAGTGACGACGTCAATGTTTTGAATGAAGTTATTAAAAAAAAAATCGATGTTAGCGCCGCACTTCATGAGTTTAGCACGGCACGCTTACATTTTCCTTTTTTTTTTTTTTTAACCGGGCGACGAAGTTTGCCTAAGGTTTTGTGACAGAACCGATGAATAACAGTTTTTAACATCTCGGCGGGGAGTACTGACTGCCGTCAGTTGATCCGAATATTCCAGCACAATATTTACATATTGCGTGACCGATAAACTCTCCGTTATACCCTAATTTATGCAGGTAGAGCTTTACTCTGAAGACTTCCACACTAGATTCATTCGTGTAGCTATGCAGAAACCAAATCGAAATTGTAAAAATAACGTCAGTTGCATGTATTTTAGCAATTCCCTATATTCACAATGTGTCTATATATTTTGAAACGTTGCAAAATATCGACTGATCGATCAATAGGATTTAGGTCTGAGGAGATATATACATTTTTTTTCAATTTCTCTTTTACTTGAGCTACTGTTTGAAATAATCTGAAGTGGAGAAGTCGCAGCGAAAATTATTAAGACGTTATGTTGATCAAGAAAATGAAATACTCACAAGCTTTGATTTCGAGCCATTGTTCGCGAGTATGGCGTAGATCCTTGAATTCGAAATTCGCAGCTGACAATGCGAGACGACCAACCTCTCCTTTTGCACGGACATTGAAGTAGTGCAACTCGTAACCAGACATTTTCCGTTGAATGACTTGAGGGTATGTTTCACAAACTGTTAAATCTCGCCCGAGCTTGATGAATTAATATACAATTAAGCAAAAAGAGCTGAGGTAGAAATGACTCAGCATCGTACCCAGTCTCCAGTTGACAGCGTCACGCAACCCAGTGAGTGGAAAATTTGGAATTTGGAAGTGGAATTGGAAAAAGAATCTTAAAGACAATACTGCGATTGACGAGCTAATTTCATACTTACACAATCCACTGATTGTGGACGCATATTTTCTGAGCCGCGGTGTCCAACAATCGAACTGAAAATTTATACGGCAGGTGCTTCGTGACATCATGCATCACGTCCAGTCAGGCAACTGTACTCACAAGCTGAGTCATTCTTAAGTTATTCTTAAAACTGAGTCATTCTTGACTCATTCTTGAGTCATTCTTGAGTCATCCTTAAAAATGCCGCAGCCACGCACTACGTTACATTCTTTGTGCGACCGAGAGGAAAACTTTGGCCTTCTGGCAGACCTCTCCCCTCTACAGTCTTGTCACAAATTAAACTTTCTCATTTCTAGGAAAGTTTAACTCTTTGTATCGTTAGCCATTGTGGCCTGAGTGTGCTCCTATGTCACTATTGAATACATCTCTGTTCTAAGACATTTCTAAGACGTTTCAAATTCAATTCAAGATGAGAGAGGGTTTTGTGGTTGTTACAGATGAAGGGAAATCTTTTTTGTTCATTAGTCGTTCCAAAAAACACTCAAAAGAGAACATCCCACGCTGCATACAGTAAGCTGTCCGTAAACATTTTTTCACGCGCGTTGCAAAATATTTGAAGGATTATGGACACAATAGCCTCTAATTTGCTCATCGTTTTCTTCGAGCATCGTTCTTGCATCTTGAAATAGATAATGCTCCAGACAAATATCTTTACATATTTCGCGCCAAATAGTGGCTATTGTTTAAATATCCTTCCATTGTGGCTACCTGAAAAATTTTTACGATCAATTTTTTTTTCTGCTAACGGTTAAAATTGGTCACTTTTGACGCCTAGCAGCTAAACTTTTTTGCTGTTTTACGGCAAACTGTTACCCTAATTGAGAACCTCTTCAAAGCAGTTTCATGAAATCATACTCCACGCAATGAGAGAGCTGTTATGTTGAAGTTGAATTTATCCTACATTTGTTTTCGACTCATGCGATAAGGTTGCTCAGATAATGAATAACAGGCAGTTACTGAATGACGAATATCTGTTAAAAGCTGGAGAAGTAGAATTTAAGGTAAGCAAAATAAATTATCAATGATGAAAATGTGACTTGAGTTCGCACAAATAAAGACGAGTTCACCACGTATATTCACCACTTGGAAGGTTTATTTGGATCCAACATAATAACCGGCTCCCAGTTGGCTTGTTAGTTCAGTTGGTGGAGCGCTACACCGGTATCGCAGAGGTAATGGGTTCAAATCCCGTTCGGGCCCGAATTTTTTTCAGGCCTTATTTCAACTGCGAGGATCGCTTCTATTCGTTTCTTCAACTGCATTGCACACACATGATTTTCGTAAATTTACAGCCATAAGTCAGATTCGTAACTCATCTTCTTCAGGAGACATGAGGTATTCATTGATGACGGTTTAGTGATACATAAGAAGGATATGTAAGATTTGCTTAATGTTTTAAGAACGATACATGTTCAATTAAGTTGGCATAAATGAATAAATAGATTTCGTTTTTTTTTTTATTTTCAAAATGTCCTCTTCTTTTCCTCCAAAGCGAAGACAAATTTCAAATCTGGGAATTAGCCCCGTGCGGCGCCGTTTCACAAGACGGAATTCTGTGGGTATACAGCAAATAAACAATAGATTTTTGACCAATCAAAGCCCACATTGTGTCTAACGTATGTCATAAATTCATGTATAGTCTACTAAATAATTTTCAAGTTTTTCTAAGAATGTGTAAACCAAACCTGACTAAAAAGAAAATAGACGCCATTAATTAATTGAGCATCCAATAGTTCAGTATATCAGGAGGCCTGAGACTAAAATCTAGACCACCAATGGAGAATTGGCCAAAAATTCCTTTGATGATGTATTTGTCTGCTTGAGATCTTTTTAGGCTTTTGTCTTACTCTCTTTCAAAAAGGTCCAATTTTTTCCGCAGTATGGACTGCTCGTGGAAATAAGCTACAGAAATATTTTTTATTTGCGGAAAATCAGGATTTTCCTCTTAACAAAAGCACTTGGCTTTGGAAGGTGTTGGCAAAGTTTTACTACAACTCAATGGAAGTCAAATTCATGGAGAGTGTTTGTTTTAAACGAAAACTAGCATGGATTAGTCTTCAAAGCGGATTTTCCTTGATGCGAGTAAATGAAATACTGAAACTAGCATGGATTAGTATTCAGTGCGGATCTTTCCTTTATGCCAGTTAATGAAAAACCGTCTCCCAAAGAGACCTCTTTCAAGATGAGTCGATATGAAGACAATTGCGCTGTATTTACTCCGATTGCACAGACGTAAGGACAAAAACGCTACAAAAGGGGCTTACCAGTCAAAATAATTGTAAATTTTTACCATGTGAAATGAAAAGGTCAATTAAACGATGTTTATTTTTTCATGAATAATTTAAAATGAAATCTGTGTGATGTCTTTATCCATATAATTCCTGGCACTTAGACCTTTGTCTAAATCAAAATTTAAAAAGAAGTTTTTGCTGCTATAATTTATACCCATGTGCTTTTTACCGCTTAGCACCGTGAGTAATGGGTGAAAATTAACATTGCCAAGTGTTGATTTTCCAGTTAAAGGTTGTTGTATCAAAAGAAACTGCGGGACTTGAACTCACTTACAGTTAAACTCACAAATTCTATATGATTAATGCAAGAAAAATTTATTTAACGACTTCCATGGCCGCAATTACGATATATACTACGACGGAAATAAAGCACTATTTTGCATTAGTTTAGTCATAGTTCACCATTAACATCAAAGAAAAGAAGAATTTTAATCGGGCATAAGGATACCGCAGATGGAAAAAGTCGAGCAAACTATGCGTGCGGACCTCTGCAAATCAGTGTGCTTTCCGGGCATATTCTTTCCTAACCGCAAAAGGAAAAAACAACACAACTAAAACAAACAAGATAACAAACAACTCACTAATACCTTAACCGGAAAAATATATGATTAATGTGAAAAAAGTAATTTAACGACTTCCATGGCTTGTCACCCGCAAATAAGATAAATACCTTGACGCAAATAAGGCACCATCTGCATTAGTTTTGTCAGTATTTTATCATATCATCAAGGAAAACTAAAATTTTAATCGGGCACAGAGATGCCGCAGATGGAAGAAGTCAAGCAAACTATGCGTGCGGACCTTTGTAAACGTGCTTTCCGGGCATATTCTTTCCTAGCCGAAAAAGGAAAAAACAAGACAACTAAACAAAAAAGATAACAAACAACTCACTTAATACCTTAACCGGACAAATATGTGATTAATGTAACAAAATAATAATTTAACGACTTCCATGGCTTGTCACCCGCAAATACCATATACACCTTGACACAAATAAGGCACTATTTGCATCAGTTTCGTCAGAATTTTATCATATCATCATGGAAAACAATAATTTTCAACGGGCACAAGGATACTGCAGATGGAAGAAGCCACGCAAACTGTGCGTGCGGACCCCTGTAACCGTGCTTTCCGGGCATATTCTTTTCCAACCGAGAAAGGAAAAAACAAGACAACTAAACAAACAGATAACATTCTTTCAATAACACAGAGAAGGATGAAATTCCATCCCGATTCTCTAAGAGCAAAACGATGAATTTAAACTTCACGCATACGATGCGAAGCATAAACTACTGGTTCCCGTTGGCGAAATGGTACAGACTTTGCTAATCAGGGAAGCTGTTCACTCAAATCCTCTTGAAGCTGCAATGGACTCTACGAAGAAACATTCTGCAAAATGCTCAAACGATGCTTTTCACAGATGCTCTTCAATTCTTTCTTTCATTTCCATTCTGTTGATTGTTGCGCTGTTCTTTAGGATGGAAACAATAAACAGGAACACAAAGAGGAACGAACTTCGCATTTCAGATGTTGAAGGTCACCTTAAGGTCGCCGTTTTGAGGAAAAGAGCAGGTAACGAGGAGAAACTGTCAAAGGGTAAGTAAAATTTTATTTGCAAGTCGATGATAATTTGCCCTAAGGAATCCGGCTTCATCGCATGAAATTAGCCCGTCTCCAATAATCTGGGCCGATTTAGTTTCATCTTAACGGTACAGTAATTCACAACATAGATTCAAAGAAGGCAATCTTAGTACTAAATCCCGACCATTTCTATCGGTGCTTTCCTAGATGGAAGCTCAGCAACGCATACACATACCATTCCCCATCGATCAATGTGTCTACGACGGTAGTTTTGCATGAATGGGCATTGTAGCAATAACATTTACTCTAAGAGGCACCCCAAATTCCCAAATTTTGTAAACTGCTCAATAGTGAGTAGATTATTACACACTCAAATTTAATGGTTCCATTGTCTCTATACAATTTCGTTCTTACGTTTATCAGCAGAGAAGGTACTGCAAAAGATTATTTGTACATTTACGTCTAGATTTTGCGACAATTGCGTTATTCTCATTGCAAACCTTTTTCTTACTCTTTGGGGTAATATATGTGATTTCCACCAAATCATCGCTAAAACTCTACATTAGATTGAACGATACTTCCTTCGTTTATCATGTAGAAAATAAATTATCAAATGGCTCGAAAATGGTTAGACATGTTGCCAAAACCATCATGGTTCAAGCAGATAAGTGACTTGACAAATTATTTTGTGTCAAAAAGTTTTCATCAAGGTAGTATAGTCGTCTTGATCTAGAGATGATTACTCTATGAGGTTATCAGCCACTGACCTCGGAAAATGAATGACAGATAACAGGACATAAGGTGAAATATGGACTGAACCAGTGGACCCTTACACCATTGGGCTAGTTTTTGGACCATTTTTTGGACCATTTATGTGGACCAATTTTTAGACCCTTTTTTGGTTCAATTTTTGAACCGCTTAATCACGGGGGAGGCAGACCATTAGTACTTAGGGAGGGTTGGGATGCAGTCTATCAGTACTCGGGGAGGGGTGCACGTGGTAGACAGACTTTTGTTACTAAGAGAGGGGTGGAAGACGAACTATTAGTACGCAGGGAGGGGTGGGAGGTTGCTGAGGTAGTAGATGCTACTGATTAATGAAGTTTTTACTAGATCATACAAATTATTTGAGCAGTTTTTCGACCGACTATTTTTATGTCAAAACTTTTGCGCTGGACCATAGCGTTTCTTTATTTTTTTGTCGCGCGAACACGAAACTAGCACCTAAACACTGGATTATAATTGTTATTGAAAATATCGCCTATTCCCGTTCTCGAATCGACTCATTTTATCCAACTTTAAAATTTGATTAAATCACGCTGAATCATTTCCCCAAAAAAATTCTTCGGAGATTCAAAAGAACTACAATTCACCTTGCAAAAGCCGGATTTCCAGTCAATCATTTTGTGAAGCACATAGTTAAATAGCGGGTTACTTTTGACCTATTTTTGAACTAATTAGAAGTAGGTCGGATAAATTCAATTAGATTGTGTAAATAGATGGTCAGGTTGCTGTCAACCCATGTTTTGATGTTGTTTTCAAAATTTGATATTTTTTAATCAAACAAGGTGTAACTGTTTCCAAGAAAGACAAGCATCTAATTTCTCCTGAATTTCACCCCTGAATCAAGCATTATTGTCATGAGAATAGAGGAAATAAATACCAAATAAAGAACCTTTTGATTGTTCAACTAATTCTCCTTGTCACCGTCTTAGTAAATGTATGGAGAATTTGCATACTGATTTCAGAATATAAATTGCTAATATTTTTATATTTGTAATATACAGATTTTGAAAGCGGAATGGAAACACATAATGTGGATTATCGCCAAAGACATAAAAGAAATGCTGCTTTGAGTCCAACGCCAGCAACTATAACTTTACAACAAATCCGCCAAGAAATAAATAACAAGTTCAATGAAGTTTGTAACTCCTCAGACAGAATATGCCAGGCAGGACCTCCGGGACCGCCAGGAGCCCTTGGGTATCCCGGATATAAGGGAGAAAAAGGGGCCCCTGGAAGTAAAGGACCACCAGGTCCATGGGGGCCCACTGGGGTTCCAGGGGAAAGTGGTGTTAGAGGACCTGTGGGACCTCAAGGAGAAAAGGGTGAAAAAGGTGACAAAGGGCCCGTTGGAGCTCGTGGTATTAGAGGAGAGACTGGAGAGAAGGGTCGTCAAGGACAAAAAGGATCTATTGGCTTAAAAGGGAACACTGGGGACAGAGGATTGGTTAGTATTCAGGGACCAACCAGAGAATGTGTCGTTCCACCGAAGATCAGTGTGTATCCAGCATCTCAGGAAGTCTTTATCAATGAGACAGCAATATTTTTCTGTTGGGTTCAAGGCCAGACGTCGTCCAAAATAACATGGCGTAGACTTGGAGGTACTCTATCTGATGCTACCGTAGAAGATGGTGCGCTTCGAATCAACAGCGTACAAAGGTCACATGTGGGGTCGTATATGTGTTCAGCTAACACTGGTCTCAGAAATCTAACGGGTTTCAGCACTTTACAAGTAAAAGGTATGGATATCACTCCCTCATTTTTCTGATTTTTTATAATATGTTTCTTTAACACCAGTGTAGACTGCCACTTGTAAATGAAATACACATTTTTGTCCTTCCACAGTGGGCCGTCGACATTGAGTGTGTTCAGATAGTAATTTAGCACCTTTAATACCGATCACGGGAAAAGTTATGTCTACTTAATAATGTTAAAAAGTATAATAAGTTTTAGTTGTATATTCTTGCTATTTTCAACGCTAAAGGTTTTCTCCGATGTTACCAAAAGTTGCTATTGCTGACGGTTGCTATTGATCACATGATGTTGTTTATTACATGTCGGTTTTTGAATCGATTTTACTCTACCTTCAGAGCCACCAACATTTGTCAAGAAACTACCATCTTTGGTCATTGTAGATGAAGGCTCCGTTTTAAGTCTCTGTTGTGAGGCTGTGGGCTCTCCTCCTCTTAACGTGGAATGGTCACGCGCTCGTCAGGCGCACTCCGCTGATACATCATTGGCTTTCGAGGAACAAGGCTGCCTCGAATACAACCCTGTTGGGTTCAACAGCAACGGGACATATGTCTGCCGCGCAAGAAACCGCTTCGGACTGGCAGAAACAACAACGTCAGTAGTCGTCAAGAGAAAAGGTTTCTTTCAATCAATAATATGATTTGCCATCATTCCAGTTACCCAATACTCATTGCATACCAATCCGGAGACTAATTCTGTCATGACAGTAACACCAATAGCCTACTTAAATTAACCTCAACTGTACAGAATTCCAAAAATACAAACACTTGTTACATGGTTAAGCATCTCGGAGCGCTCTTTTCAATAATCAAAGATTTATAAGCGCGTCGTTTAAACTGACTGGGGTCACGTCTCTGATTTAATATCAATGATAACAGAGACTCAAAATGATGATTATAATAAATAAGTGGGTCAACAACACCAATAAACAAACAAACAACTACATGCCCTAGCTCCTGGCCTATCCCATGAGTAACTAGCCGGTATCTTCGTCGAAATGTGAAAAATCCTAAGTTTAATACATTTGTCGTGATATTGCCTGGATTCAGGCTAGCGGTTATCTCATTACTAATATCTAGGCGACCGTATAAAAAAATAGGCATCCAACAATTTTTCACTTTTGGGGTGATTTAGGTTTTTTGTTTAGTTTTGTTCTGTGTGCTTTCTTGTTCTTGTGTGTTCCTATGCCTCCCTTTCTAGAACGAGAACCACAAAAACATGTTGATATCTTCGTAAATATTTCCTCCCTTTTCTTATTCATTATCCATGCCTTCTTTTTATCAACTTTCAGTACATTCTTGTGAAGAAGTTTCAAAGAAAAAAATGGAGAGACGTCCCGGAAGCTTCGAGCTTTTCGCGGTCAATTTTCGATATAAAGTAAGTCTAGAGCCTTTATTTCTCTTTCAGAATAAATACTTCCAAAGGTTCTTAATAGTAGCAGGCAAGTCAAGAATTTGATGAAAATGACAAACTTTTAAGTTTGTAAAACATGTTTCGACAGAAACTTCTGTCATCTTCAGTTAATTAATGTACAAAGCGTTGGAAGTTGAATTTATATATAGTGAGTAGAAAATGCTAATTATGATAAATGCCGACAACAAGAAAAGGCAAAGCATGAAAGTGTGAGGGTTAAAAGGATAGTTTTAGATTTACATGGTGTGATTGTTGATTCGAAGAGGGTTGTATATGAATAGCCTCTTTTATCTTAAGTTGAAACTATCCTTTCAATTCTCACACTTTCAAGCTTTGCCTCTTTCTTTAAAGACGATCTCGTGGATAAAACAATTTTTGCTACTTTTCCTGTCCTTGGTTTGTTTTGTTGTTTGTTTTTGTTTTGTTCGGTGTTGAATTTTTCTGTTGTGTTCTCTTTTTTTTCCTCTCCGGACGAGAGCTTTTTTAAGCCAAATAAAGAGTTCAATGTAGTTCGACTTTTCTTTCAGCCTTACTGACAGTATAAACTTTTATAAAAAAATGTAAATAGTCGCCATCTTAGCATCACCCAGCAATCCAAAGATTATATAAAATATTTTTCCGTCGAGAACATTTCATAGCACATACCAGCAAGAAAGCACGCATTTTTCAATGGGTTGCACCTATTTACATCTTCCAGTCAAAAATTCAGTCGCGATGGCAATTAAAAAATAACACATTTGAATTTAAAAGAGACTCTTAGTGAGAGAAAAACCTTTCCTGATGTGAAGAGGTGCCTTCTCACTTTCATTCTCACCTCTCCTATCCCACCCCTCCTTCTCACTGAGTGCAAGAGTTACGACTAGATCCCAAGCCTCCCGGTGAATATTTCAATTTTTTATCTTATGGTTTTAAAGCTGTTAGAGTACTTCATATCTATCAAGGTATTTTATCAATTCCTCACCAACTTATAACCAAAATAATAAATGCCCTGCTTTTGATTGTAATCTATTTGCAATGTACTTTTAGGTCTATTGTGATATCACAGCAAGTCTTGAAGGATGGACCCTTATCGCTCGATTCTCAAACAGCGATGGCAAGAATTGGATGCGTGACGATGGTAGATGGTGGTATGACCAGCAAGCTGCCAATGGAACAACAAATGATCCATCAGTAAACGCTGATATGATCTCACCAGCATTTTGGTTGGTCAGAGGAAGCGAATTTAAGATCACGCGCAGTGACGACCCCAGCCACACCCCTCTGTTACAGACCACAGGTAACTGTTTGGGTGGACAAACATTCCGATCTAAAATCACAAGTTATGGCGACTTTAGAAATGGCAAGGTCTGGGCCAGTGATCAGTGTCTGGGAAGTTGTACGGTTCAATATGGCGGACAGTACAAGTCAACAGACGGGTTTCAACAGGCTGATTGCAGTGGAAGCATCCAAAGTGCTGACAAGATCGGCTTCTGGTGTGACTGGGATACTGGGGATGGAGCAGTCATGATGATTGGTGGAGGAGGAAGTAAATGTGCACGTGCAGATCACGGCATTGGAATCTCAGAAACTAACGCTGCTTCTTTCGTTGAAGAGGATAGCACACAAACTGAATACGACTTTGGTTATGATGCTCAAACGAAAAGCGCTCCATCCCTGTCCTACTCGTTGAACTTATGGATCCGTTAAAAATTATAAGAATTATACGTTAAAAATTATAACGTAATACTTGTGTGATTAGTAATGAAGTTAACAATCCATAAACCAAATTACAAACTCTGATCCTCTGACTGGTAGGTCGGAGAGTATGAAGGCTCGGATATACATTTTTTGAAACTAAGATATTGCATTTCTTGCCCTCTATGGCTTCACTCCACCAATTAGAATCTCCTTAATGAAGTGAGGTTCAGACATGTTTAACGAGAAAGAGCGGGTGAAGTCAGAAGAGGCGTGCTTTCGATTCGATTTTTGTTTCAGAGACGAGTACATTTAAATGTCATTTTGCTGACTAACAACTTTTACATTTAGTTTCGACAACTGCCTGCAACATATCTCAGTTATGCGTTTTAAATAATGGCTACCTAGTAGTTTAGATGGTGCCTCTTTGATTCGTTTTTTAAAAAAAATCAATTTAGAATTCTGCATCCTGTTTTGAACTTTTTGTAGGCCTCTGTATTGTTCTTACTTGTTTGTAGCGTGTTGCGGAAAGAGTACAACATTTGTGTTATCTACTTTTTTCAAAAATTAGCTGAGAACTATATTGTAGTATTTAGTATTGGAGCAAACTAATTACGATGTGAACAAAAAATAAATCTTTATGCTTGATATGTATCATGCATCTTAGTTCAATGTTTTTATATACAGAAATTATATTTTAATCTTAGTCAACTCCTTTAGTGTTAAAACTGCAGAAATTGAACTCAGGGCTTCCACAGTAGTATTTATTTCTTTTTAATGGTTGTTTGACTGTAGTAGAAAATGTATTTGAGTTCATTTAGTGGGATCCTTATTAAAGGAATTTCTCAAGATCTTAAAAGAGAGTTTCCCATTATGGACATGTCAACGGCTTCCGAAAATTAGATACTTTCTTTTCAATTTAAAATTTCAGTTCCGGTATGCAAAACTACTAGATCTAGAGTACCCACGCGAGAAGACTTAACCCTTTAACTCCCAAGATCTCATTATTAATCCTCCTTACACACGGTCTCCCATACAGTTCCTGTGATGTTAGTTTAGAGAATTTGGTATTGGATCAACGTACAATCCCTCATTGATATTTTTCTTTATTCTAATCACTTGTCTGCTTGATATTATACTGATATTGTAAGGAGAAATTCTGTCTTGGTCACTCATGGGAGTTAAAGGGTTAAGGATAAACAAGAGACCACAAAAAGAAGTGAACAAAACATGAAACACTTTCATTTTAAACATGTCAAAAGTTAACAAAGCAATTAAAGTTTAAAGGGGTAAGTTTCTAAAGAAACTGTGGTGCTGCGTCGGTGGGAGAGTATAGCAGGTAATTTAGTGTTAACAACTGGGTTGAAAACGTAAATTAGCCACCGTAAAGAGTAAAAAAGCTGAATTTTCGACTGACGAAGGGCTAACGCTCGAAACGTCAGCTTTTTTACTCTTTACGGTGGCTAATTTACGTTTTCAACCCAGTTGTTAACACTAGATTACCAATTAAAGTTTAAATTTCGCCTGCTAAATAGATACCTGCTGGGCCCACACTGCACCGCATCCGTTTGTTTTATGAAGAGATATTCACACTTAATGCAATCTACTGAAAGAATGAAAATACAACTTTTCTTCAAGGCAACTAATTTCAAGTATCTAATGACCTTACTTTCCCTTCCAAGAACCTTTTACGACGTTAATCAGTTAAAACATTGGATATTTTTACAACAAATCACACAAATACTACGTCCCTATAAATAGGTTGTTTCAATTTTTCATTTGAGGAGAAAAGACATTGCCTCATTCCATCGGTATAAACGGATAATATTTTAGAAAACAACGAGTACATGTTATCGTTTTTGGCGTTAACTACCGCTAGAAATGGTTATTTAGAAGAAGAGAAACCAGATAATTAACTTTAAAGATGTTCGGAATTGCGCCTAAGCGTTCCTCAAAAAAAAAACGTATGCCAAAGAATCACCTTTCAAAATCATGAGAGTAAGGTTTTCCTAATCTATTCTGAGCGGCATGGACAATCACCCTATAAATAATTTATTTTGCTAAAAACGCCAAATAGCATTAATATTTTACTGCTTTGCGTTGCAGAAACAAATCAGGGCAGTGGTCGTTGAATTAGGACCCACAACCTTAATGTCCAGTCGCACAACAACCTAAAATCGTCAACACTGTACGAATAGCCTGTCGCTATATATATCTAAGTCGTATGTGATGTATTTTAAAGGGAAAGCCTTCATTTTCACGATGCCTCCCTTTGGTTTTGCGTCTGTTGTTTTGATCACGTGGTTTCATTGCCGGGCTGTTGCAGACAAAGGTGATGTCGATATTTTTTGCTGGTAGAGCATTTAAAGCTTTCAGATGAACTATATTTTAAGTTCATTTCTGGTAATGTTGTGTTAAAAGGTGCCATCTCTTTCAAATCACCATAGCATTTTCTTTCGCCAACTTCAGAATGCAATGAAGATCATTTTTTTCCTCTGGAAAAAAAGTCTTAGTTTGTGTCTTGGGTGAAGTGTTTAAAATTTTTACCAAGACACACATTAAGTGGCGATCTCTGTTAGAGCGGTCCAAGGCATTTCGCATCGGAGAAACGTTTGCCTCAAACTTTGCCCAAAAACTATAACTATTAAACTATCTTTGGGAGTAAGTAAGTAAAACCACATTGGTTTCTGGAAATACGTTAAAAATTTCTTTTGAGAGCTCTCAATAATCAAAGCTGCATAAGGCCCGTTTTTGACCTCTTGTGACATCGAAAATTTCTCACGGTGATAGGCTTGCTCCTCGTAACATACTACATGCAGCAGGAAAACGTTTGGATTCTTAAATTATGTGATATCTCGAGGGTTTGGAAAGTATTTCAATTTTGATATGTTATTCAGAGATTCGCCATAATTTATTATTGAAAACAATCGTTTGAAAGCTTTTTGAAATTGGTCAAAATTACTCTTTCTTTCTTCGGTGATATTTCTCAAGTCCAGACCGGACCATAAATAATTACTAATTACTAATACGATGTTAGAAAGCATAAATGTAAAAACATCTTGCAGTTATTAGTATCTTAAAACCTTTTGGTTATTTTGCTAACCTGGCAGCAGAATTATGCAAATTAGTCTGTTAAACAAACCCCGACTGGCTCGCGGCTCTGATGTTTTTCTTTTTGACTCGCGCGACGGACTTAGCTAAAAAGGAGAGACTACTCTTAATCTATAACAGCACTTACTGAAATTCACCGTGAGTAGTGATACAGTCACGTAATTCAAAGTGTACTTCTTCCATATAAATATGGCAGCGATAATGTGATTCTTTTGCTCGGAATTCTAGCCTATTTTTTCTAAGCTATCAAACGTGTTGGCGTTTCATGGGAGATACAGGACTTCAGATCAGCGAGAGGAAGTGTCCAAGATCCATGCGTGCATTGACAGCATCGCCGACGCTGTACTAAAGCTCTTCTCCCATGCTATTTAGTTCGTCTATGATTAGGAAAAAACTTTGAAACTATCGGCACCCTCTGCTACAGTATTTTCGAGACTCCTCAATGATTTCTTCTTTGTGGCCTCTTGAAGTTCTAATATTCTCCCTATGGTGGATTTACTTATCGGTTGAAATCCAGTTTCTTTGGAATGGCCCTATAATATTAATGATGGCACACATGGCTACTGTTCGTACCACGTTAAGCATGAAAAATTCCTCACTGCTTATAAGTTTGATGGCGCAAGTGCCGTACACTATGTCTTGATAGTAATATTGCCTCATTGTGAACTCTAAGAGAAGTGGTTCAGCTGACGCTATTCTTAACGGATTGTGTGCCGCGGGATATTTTTCAATATAGGCTCTCCGCTTGTGTTCACTGCCTTCTTTACTTGTCTATCGGATAGGTTTTCAAATGGCTGATATACCAGTATGTTTTTAAGCGCATTGGCTGAGAATCTATCTCCCGACAAAAAGACAGTGTGAAGGAAATCAACTTCATCTGAAAATTAAGTGAGGAGTATCTTAAGAACACTCATAATGTGAAGAATTCATGACGATTTTGTTTCATTCCTTTGCTGAATGTTCTGACTGTTACTCTTTTCATAAAGAGAATAAGAAATATCTTTTCGTGGAAACTCGTATCAAGAAATGGCCCATTGTTCCGGATCAACTTTTCCAAACAAAAGTCCTGAGTAATTGGTAGTCCTGAGGGACTTTGGCCGAAGGGAGGCGGAAAAGCTCGTAACTGATCAAGAAAATTATCGGAGTGACAATTTTACTGCACTAGGGGAGTGGGTAGTGTAAATATGTACTAGTAAAATCAATCTTCATTGGTGTACCCAGGCGTAGGCTTGACCCTCGTTTAGAGTATCGAGCCAAAGGTTCGCAAATTCAAAAATAATTAAATTTATCCGTATTACAGTGACTCATTTAAACCACCTCTCTCTCTATGTAAGTCAAGTCGCCTGGTTTTTACCAGTCACTTTTGTCAACGTACAAATATATTTTTTGGTCTTGCCAGCTCCAACTGGTTGATTATCGGAAGTCACGTCTGATGTTAGATGTTGTCAGTTTACAAATGCAAGATAGCAAAGAAAAGTATTGTGTAATTCGACTGTTTTACATATAAGATACTGAATTTAAACTCATGAAAATTGAAAATTATGGGAACGGAGATAAAAAAAAAAACTAACATACTTTTCACTGATACATATTTCAAAGTTTTTACTAAGGCTTCCTGTATGTGCTAATTAAATGATATAAACAAATTTCAGTCTATGTATATATAAAGTTATGACAGGTTATCAATTGATATCTGATCTGTTACAACAAATAATAACTAGCCCTTAGCATTTTACCATATCGTTTTACACTTTGGCAAGTTCCTCTCAATTTGTTATAAAATTGCTTAATTCAAATGCCGGGGAACTGATCAGACTTCGGTGGCCTGGTGTGGATAGCATATAACTTCGACTTCAAAATGCAGTTTGGACTCCCTGAACTTTCAAGGAACTATTTCCATGTATTAGTGAAAATAGTTGTTCTAGCGCAGGCTTCTAGAGGTACGTAAAGCGTTTTAGACTGACTCCTGATTAAATATTTTTCTTTGAGCAGAATACTTTTAACAAATCTTTTTTCATTCCTCTCTTTATTTCTAGAGACAAAAGTCGTCGATATGCAAGGTAAAACTCTCAGCCGAGGTACAAGTAAAGGAATAACCTATGCCAGATTTAAGGCTCACAAGTTTTCCTACCTCAACATCACTATTACTGGTTCGGATTATGTTGGAGAGGACAGCGAATGTGGATTTGCTTGTGTCAAAATTCCGTCGTGTTTTTCGTTTAACCTGGCTGCATTTCATGATATGAATGGCAAAGTTCTGTGTGAATTACTTCCATCGGATCTGTACAACAACTCGGATAAGCTTGTCCCTAGTCACAGTCACCATCACTACAGTATCGCGGTAAGTTGGAAATAAAAAATGTTCACTCTGTTTTTGTGAAAAGAAAAGGAGAGGAATCGCAGATAATTTCTTGTGGAGGTTTTTTTCATTTTTTTACCTTTTTAATAATACACCTAAAGGCTACGTGGTCCACTCTTACAACTGTAACATTTAGGCCATGTGTTTTC